AAAAAAAAAAAAAAAAAAAAGACAGCATATTTCTTTCTGAAATGGTAGAACTTTCTCGTATACTCGAGTATACCTCTCGATTGCGAATCGGTAGGCAGTGGGAAGATCGAAGTTTATTTCAGCGAGCCTAGAATTGCGAAAACCAGAAGCTAGTCGGTAGCCGAGCTATAGCCAGCTACCTTTCATTACGTTCACCGATATTCTAGAAAGTTGTCACTTGGACGAGTGAAGCGAGAGGGCCCTTCTTTTGCCTTTTAACCAACCAACAGAAACTGTGAAAACGTCCAAGCTCGTCAGAACCTGATGTAACTTAACATCGTTTTCTTCCACGATAATGGTTTCCTGCTGACCGATCGCAAATTAGGCTCTCGAAAGTATGCACTGACCGGCAACTTCCTTCCTATCGCCGTTGGCCAAATACGCACGTTGTTTCACGTTGTTTCCTGATTTACAAACGCAACCATGATCTACATAGTTACTCAATAGTCATTACTAATTCAACGTGAAATAATTTTCAGACTTCAATTTAGTGATTTAATAATTTTTTAATACTTTTTAATCCTGCAGTTTTCGATCATTTATGAAGGATAAAATGATCGAGGATGATTAAAGAATCCATTGAAAATGCGTTAGGAAGGTTGTTTAATTCTGTTGCATATTTCTGGCCATTTTTGAGCCTTTCATCTATTTCGAGTTAGATCTAAAGAACGTAACCATGCAACTTTCCACGCTAAAATCTGTATATTTACCGGAATAAGAACGAAAATTAAACCACAAAAATCCGAGGAGCGATCGTCACGTTGCTAACGGAACGTGTAATAAAACTTTATTCAGAATTTATGAAACCGCGGTCGTAACTAGAGCGTATCGCGGTACGTTTATTGCTCCGATATATACCTCCATCGTTATTATTATCAGCGATTATGTTTTAATTAAAAAACCGACCAATAATCACGGTGAAATAATTGGATCGCATCTTCTCGTTGAAACGTCTCTCCTTGATGAGAGAAATTGAAGGAGGACCCAACGAGCCGAGTACAGGACAAAGTTGAGCCGTTCCTTAAGGCTTCGAAAGTTGAATAAATATCGCCATAGTAATCATCCGTTGATGCAACTCGTTTTCTTCCTGATCGCGACATCGGGTCGCGAGTGAAAGTGAACTCTCCTCGTGTTATCGCGCTATAACCTCGGCCAGAACGATGGAAATCGAACACGAACGAGGATGAAACGTTGGATTAATCTTCCAACGTATAAATCCTCCTAGACGGAAGGAGCTATTTATGCTCGGTTCTTACCGAGTTTTTTTTTTTTATAAAATCTTATCCAGTGAATACAGGCTACACATACTTTATTATATAGTCATTCGAAACGGGATTCTGATCGTTTTATAACTCGCTAAGAGCACGAAAATGCGAGCTATTCTGAGCTTGGAAGATTTTAACGAGGCTTTAAAGATTAACACGCATAAAGAATGAATGCGCATACAATGATACTTATAAAACTCAAGCGATGATAGATAAATGTTTATGAGAAATTTAAGTCTTTACCTGTTCGTAAATATATGAATTTGCATAAATATCAGCAGTTTAATGACAGACGTAAAAATTCTGTATAGTTTTTATTTTGATGAAACGTAAAATTTATGGGATACTTGCGAATTAATTTGTCGGAATTTTTTATATGAAATTAATGATTAATAAGCTATCCATTGTTAGTGATTTTGAAGTTTGTTAAAGGAGTTGTGAAACGAAAGGTATTGAGGAATATTTTATCACTGTGCAGGATACGAGCGAAACGAAGGAAGTTCAACAATCTCTCGCTGAGCAAACACCAGTGAAGAAAGAAGCAGAGCCAGACACCAAGGACGTCAAAGTCCACAAGGAGGATGAGAACAATTCAAAGTCAGACAACGAAAGCGGTGACCACGACGATGATGACGATGACTACGATGACGACGATTTCCCTCCCGTGCACATCAAATTGCCCCTTCAACTCGATTTTGATGAAATTGCGGGCGTAAGTGTTGTACAATTTCTAAAAAATTAATAGATCGAGAGAGAATGGAATTTTTATCAAAAGTCGACAAATGTACAAAATGGATAATTGTTATATATATATTTGATTATTTTTATTTTTTAGACTTTGATCCAAGAGGCACGCAGCAGAGTTTCTTGCGTTGTTGAAAGACGAAGGGCCGATCAAGTGATGGACGGTGCTAACAATAATAATATTGATAACAGTACTGATTCTCGCTACCAAAGACTGAGCGGGGAACGTGTCGCCATTTTGTGCGAATCTGGCAATCCTCACCAAGAGTATGAATAATCAGAATTTAATTGAATTTCCATTCAATCGAATTCTATTATTTATATTCAAAATATGCTTGATTTTCAGGCAACAAGATCAAGAGATGCTCACGCCAATCATTATTCCATTGGGAACCGTCCAAGTACCACTTCAGTCTCAGGAGCAGAACCCAGCCTACCATCAATATCAAGTGCATACTCAGTATCAAGTTCCTGACATGCAACAGTTACCACTCAGCGACCCACGTGGACTTAATCACATCCCACCTGGTATTCTTCCCCCTGAATTGCGAAATATCCCTCAGGTAACTATGGAGATGAGGCCACCACGTATGGGACCACAGATGCCCATGATGGGACCACAGAATCCTGCGATGGGACCACAAGTCAGTGTATTTTATAATAATAATGACAGAAATATTAATTTTCTTTAAATTCTTGGTATCCAGTCGTTTGAATAATTGTAAGTGATAGTACATGTTTCTCCCCCTTGCTTTTTAATGCAATTGCTTGTCCCATTTAATTACACTTATTTTATTCTTAATATATAAGAAGTCAATTGCAACTACAATGATTACATTTGAACTTACAACGACTAATTCATTTAGGTTGAGCTGCGTCGAATTCCCATCGAATTGCGTCATTTCCCGGTGAATCCAATGAGAGGTATGCGACCACCAATGGTCCAGGAACCACAACAAGTACCTGTGATGTATCAACAAGTTGAACAAAGTGGAGCATATGGTCAAGAACAAGGACCAGCTATGATGCCTCCTCCAGCACCGCAGCCAGAAACTCAGGTTCATGAGCAAAGGATCATTCCTCATGTATTGATCCCGCAAACCGAACAACGTCCACCTCAGATGCCACCGCAAGTACAACCTCAAATGCAGCCCCAGATGCAAGCTCAGCCTCAAGCTCAGCCTCAGCCACAACCACAACCGCAGCCTCAAGTTACAGAAAGACAACGTTCGCCCTTCCAAGGAATTCCGTTCGAAATTCGAAGGATTATCCAACAAGTACCCCTAGAGATTAAGAACATCATTCAACATATCACCGGTGAAGCGAGGCCTGTACCTGTACAAATACCAGATGGTGCTCGCCGCGAGGTATAATATTTCTACTAGATTTCTCTCCCTGCTAGACATGTACGATATAAAATTAAAAATTTTATTCATCATTGTTTTCCAGAATGTTCAGGAATTCAAACCGTTCCCGGAAGGAGCTCAACCTATTCCTTTGGGACTTCCACTTCCGATAGAGGTGCGAAATCTATTGGAGCATGGAAATATCGAGGGTCGCCAGCGGCCGGATGGTTCCAACGAACAACAGGAAGCAAGACCTTTCCCTGGACCGGAAGATGATAGCGAGGAAGAAAGAAACTTCCCTGTACCAGCGGAAATTCGTAATATAATTCACCAGGTAAAAATTATGGCAACATTTTATTACATATTTCGACTTTTGTCGCCGTCTCAGTTTACTGATTTATAATGATAAGAATAAATGAGAACCGCTGCAGCGGCAATTTTTCACCAAATTAACGTTAGGTAGCGTGGCCGAGCGGTCTAAGGCGCTGGTTTAAGGCACCAGTCTCTTCGGAGGCGTGGGTTCGAATCCCACCGCTGCCATTATTTTTTTTTATCGTCGTTATTTTCACTCTATCGATTATCATTAACCGAATTTTCTTTCTTCAGAATATTTAATTCACTCATCAGTATTTGTTTCAATTTTTAGGTCGTAGAAGGTAACGCGTTCCCAGTTCCAAGAATTTCTCTGCCATTGAGACCAGTAGAATCCTTGGAAATACCTGTTGAGGCCCGTGCTGAAGTTACTGATACCCAAAACTCCGAACAAGAATCAGAGCAAAGGCAGCAAGAGCAACAACAAACACCACACATGATGATGGACCAGCAACAACAACAAGTGCAACAGCAACAACAGGAACAAGAAGAAGAAAGTCGCCCACACTGTAAGTACATTTAATTTTTTATTTTTTACTTTTACTTATGTCTGTTGTTTCATAGCCCCCGCCCCTCTCCTATTGCATTCCCGTTACTATTTATTTAAAGAAGAAACTTAATTTCATTCTTTTGTATTACAGATACAATGACACACATAACGTAATGTAGGCCACTGATTCCATTTGAATTTTCATTTAATTTGTCACATTCGCATTGAGTAAAATTATACAAATTGTTCCAATTTGTTCATAGACGTGCAACCACGTTCGGTGCGTTCCATCCCAGAGGCATTCTCTCATCGCCGTGAGAAGCGTGTACGCCGTTGTGCTTGCGATTGCGCCTGTTAATTCCAGTTACAGCGAATCGGATCGAATGTCCCATCATACCCGGTCAAAGAGAATGCTCCCCCCCCCCCCAAAAAAAAAGAAGAAGAAACGCAGCTCGGAACATGTTTGACGAGTTCCCGTAAAACCCGAAAGAAGATTTTTCAGGCGATTCACGTTCCGTTTCTCGAATTTCATATTTTTGTAAATCTTACAATCTTGCGAGAGCAAACTGGACTATAAGAATAATCTTATTTTTATAGAAGGCAGCATGGGACAAAAGTCATAGAGATTAAAAAAAAAAAAAAAAAAAAAAACACACCGTTAAGTTTGTAGTATTATGTCGCTATAAAGCAGCAAAGCTACGTACGTGCTTTTATTTAGGCTGTTCATAGTACAATCGAAGAAAATAAAATGATAAAAAATAAAGAGAAACTCGAGGGCCAGAAGACATTGTAGAGAGTAGACATTTGTATCGGCAGAGATACACCTATTAGTGGGAGAAAAATCCATTGATTACGAATAATATCCTTTTCTTTAACTAACACGATTTCATCCAAGGAAATTATTACAGTTTCTTCTTTCAGTGACAGTGACAATCACATGCAGAGAGAAAATTAAAGATTATGAATAAATCTGTGATCGTTTCTTTTATTTTCATTA